GCCAACTTATGTGCCAGTGATGCAAATTCTCAAACGGTTTTTTTCATAGTTTTCTGCTAAGTATTATGACAAGCGTAATTCTATATTCACATAATAGGATATGTTTTAAGAATATGAGGCCAATTTTACGGCATAATACATGAAAATATTTAAGTTTGAGGGTTGTTGCTTAGCAATACAGATATGCAAGAGGAATTAGTAGGAGGAGCAGGGTTGTGAGGAAATGACGATAATAAGATAGGTGAAAAACACCGGTGAAAGTAAAACGGAAACTAAGAGCAATTTGCTTATGACGTTATAATATTTCTTCCCCTCACTGTACTCCAATTTCTCAGACAGTATAACGAACAGCAGTCCACTACCTCTATGGATGTAGCAGTGTGTTTAACATTTTGTTCATAAAACTCCTCATAATGCAGAAGTTGTTCATCGTCCATGCAGTTTACCGTCCTTGCAAGCAGTGATATCGTTTGCCACCTAACCAAATACCTGATACTTTACGTCACAGTATAAGTGTTTTCATGGAATCTGTCCGTTGGCCTGGCGGTATTATAGTATTGGACAGACTTAACCCTTAATTTTAACAACCGAATAATCAAGGTCCCTGATTTGTAACGTTTAACGATTATACAGTCGTAAATATAAGAGCCAGACTTATCCCATTAGTGTTTAAACTCTGAGGAGCCAATCGCGAGACAGCATGGGTTTTTTAATAGTCAACATTTTTGGACTTTTGTGTATTCGCATAAGATATAAAAGTTGCACTTCTTAAATATTTAAATTAACTTCCTCCATTTTGTGAGGAACTGAGACCTCATACTATGCTAATGATATATGATGCTAACGCCGCTCATGCAAATTATACGCTAAAATAACAATGAGATACCATTATATCTATTACGATTGCCCCCATCTTGAAGAATCTTATACAAATGTAAGTTTTCCATTTCTAACCCGAATTATGCACTTCAACGTTCGCACCCGAATCTTTGTCTTCATAAAGACGGAAGAATATAAATACGCTTTTGTACATATAGACGACCCAGAACTTCAAACAATTCATGAAGTTTTCATTTAAGATTCGCCTCAAAGATACCGACCCGCTATATAATGGCTAATGATATATTGGGAGGTTTAGATTTAAAAATAATAGAACATTATCTGCGGTTGTTGTGACAAGCATTTATTTGGTTGAACTACTTGGACTAGTATCGGAAAATCAAGCCATGCGATCTTTAGTTATACAATAGCATAGTTGTCTGGTTATTTTTACATTAAGCATTTTCGTTGTGATACAGACGGTTTACGTTTGTGATAGACCGAAGTTGTTTGTCTGCATCAAGCATAAATTGAATTAATGATCTACATATGACCTCATTTTAGTGTCTTCACGATGAATATTTCTAGTTTCAGTATAAGGCTCAGACACTTTTAGCAATAAGCACGATTTGCTTGGACTATATCAGGACCAATGAGGGATTTAAAACGGGATTATGGAATTTAAAGAACAGCTTCTAGATGTCTACACCATAAGAAAGTTCTGTAAATTACGTATTATAAGATAGCATTTTAATTTGCTTTATCAACCTCTACTATCCTTTCTATAATTTGAGCAAAAGAATAAACTTCATAAATAATTTAATTTTAGTGCATCAATCGATCGTTTTGCATGCATAAAGTGAATGCAGATTACTCTATCGTTTGCTTTTATTTCCTTACTGGCAACTCTAAACACCTGAAAACTTTCTCACGCGTCAAAAACTGGCAAGTGCAAGTACTAGGTTATTTTGTTAACAGTGAAAGTGCTCCATTCGTTTTGCGTAAAAACTTCAGGAACGCAAAACGCTTTGTCTTAATTGCAAACAGTCGTTCAGCTTTAAAGCCTATCGAAGGCCTTTCCAACGCACTATGTTCACACAGTTATCATCGTCAGCTACAGCTCATTTTCGGCCCCACATATTTGGTCGTTAATTTTCCTTGCCCTTTTTGCCTCCAGAACTCACTGAGCGTTTTGCTTCACGGTAGTCTGCACAGGTTACGGAGTCAACGAACAGAAAGTGATTCATGTCATTGTCAGCCTCCGGTGGTGCATAAATCTGATTTGCCCAGCGACTGCCTACTGCGCCCGATATGTTTTCCTGATCTCCGCGTTTGGAGTTATGCGCTGAATGCCTGTCAGCTTCGGGCATTTCGGCGAGTTTCGGATTTAATTTTTGAGATCTAGTTAATTATTAGAAATTTTTCATCTTGACTTTAAAGAGAAGAACTCGAATAACGAAAACTTTGCCCAAATTTGAGGACTTCAGCATCATAAAAGTACCGGCTCATCGCAGAAGAATCTTTAGGAAATCTCTGATAAACTGCAGATCATGTCGATTAAAATCGCATTTTAATGATATTATGCAGTACCATTCACTAGTCTAAATGAGTTGCACACTTCAAGCAGAATACAAACCTCTATGACCAAACTCTGGATCAGTCATGTCCATCCTTGATGTTTTCCTAGTCATCTCTCGATTAAAGCTAAAATGTAATTCATCGGTTTTCATAAAATTGTTTTAGGGAATATTTTACAGCTAATCATGAGGTTTGCTGGTAATCCAACTTTGTGCCTCTGGTCTTATGCGCGTGTAAAGTTTCCTCTGTTGCCTTTCACGGGCACTTCCGACTTCCGATCAGACAACTGATACCTACTTGCTACTCACCATGGATAAAATATCTGTCATGATTCAGGACATTTGTTCGATGGCTAAACTGTTTGAGCCAGGCTGTATCTTCTTCATAGCAACTGGTTTAAATTCGTCCTTCCTTGGAAAGTTGTTTAGCTCTGATTTCAGCCCAATTTGTTGGAATACTGACAGCTCCACTTTGGAGTTCAATTCCACACCCCCTGATCAACACAGCAAATGACCAGGTGTTTGACCAACAGCAACAACAACAACACCCAAAGAGAGTTCAGAAAAACGAGGATGATGACCGGGCAGCCAGGTCCACCACCCAGGAGCGCACGCGCATCTACCGGCAGGGAACCAGGTGTCAGGGAACTGCCAGCGCATACCAGGCTGCGATGGCCATGGTTTGCTGATGCTGGCATAGCACACACTTTCAAACCTTTTGACCTAGAAGGGCGACATGTGGCCCTGCATTTAGCCTGGGCCGTCACCCTTCAAGGTTGGTAACCAAACATTCATCGACTGAGAGGCACTACCCATAAAGCAAACACTCTCCCCAAATGCATGAGAGTGCCACAGATAGCTTGAGAAGGGGTCCTAACAGCCGGGCTCTCAGCTCACCAGTCCGCCACTCCACACAACACACAACTGGGCAGACTGCGTGGACTGAGTTGGGGCATCAGTCGGCTGCCTTCCGAGCCACGACGCTCGACGACCCATCTTCGTCTCAGACTCCGATCATACATGCAACAGAGGAGCCACATGGAGAAGGAGCCGAGATACACACTCCCCACTTGCGTGGGAGGTGGCAGTTGGGTGTTTGGGTCAGTGAGATTTATGTGCCGTGAGATGCTGGTGGGAGAGGATGTGATGGTGTGATGCAGCCGGCGGTTGTCTACCGCGGGTTTTCGTGGACGCGCATACGGCCTAATAGACCCTTGCGGCGAATAAATATGCGAGTGCAATGTGGACAGTGGAGGCGGATGCGGCAAGTGCAGGTTTGTGCTTTAGGCACTTGTTCGCCAGTCTCTGTGCGACGGATTCGCAAGTGACCGACCAGACCGATGCGCGAAGTGAATGTATGGGGACATTGTGAACATGAGAAGTCGGCGGTGTCAGTGACAGCTTCGGTGATGGTGATGGTGGAGCTGGTGATGGTGAGTGCGCTGGGCGGCGGGGTGGGATTTGCGCTGAACATGATGGGTGTGTGGAATGTACCGAGTGTAATGGGGCTGGTAGCGGTGGGCGCGCTGGGCTGCGGAGTGTGGGCGTGCTGGATATGCTAGGTGTATCGGGCTGCGGTCAATTTCGCTCTCGTGGATACGCATGTGGCCGAATAGGCCCATGCAGTGAATGAATGTGGGAGGACAGTGGGGAGCGCGCCCGATTCAGGCGCTTTCCTGCTGGAGAGTTGCTGCACGGCCCCGATGGTTTCGTAGAGAGAGGGTGGGCGGTCGAGGTCGGCTTTGGTCTCCACTTGAGGCAGACGAGCGATGGCAGCGGCGGAGATGGTGGAGGGACGGTTGAGAACGTCCATCGCTGTAGATTTTGTGTCTTCTCATTGAGTAAGGTACTGCCGTCATCGCTGAGAAGATGTGACGTTGCTTTAGTTGGCGAACCGTAGACAGCTTTGATCGCGGCGAAGAAGTTCCTCCATTCGTTGCGGTCCGCGTACCCTTGGATCTCCACGGCCTTGCGAGCTGTTCAGGCATCCTGAATTTTGCACATCCGCCGTTGCACAAGGCGGCGACTACGGTAGAAGGCTGCCCCGTTGTTGTCTGTCGAGCGATCGACGTAGGCTTTGTGTAGACGGTTCTTCTCGGTAGGCAGGTTGGTGATGGCGGCGTTGTTGTCGTCGAACCGTTCTGGTGTTGGCGCGACTGAGAACGGCCAGCGCCGTCGACTGTACTGTGTCCACCAGTTGACACCATCGGGTTTCCAGGGGGCGTTAATGTCAGCAAGGCGGCGATTGGATGGTTGGCTAGCCGTTGGGCTAGCTCATTGCTGAAGTGGTGATGAGCAGGCAACGACAACAAAGCAATATTCAGCTTACATGGGAGTCGCTTACCTCGAGGTCTCCTGCGAAGCTGTAGGCGAGTACGCATTTTATAGATGACGAGACGATGGTCGGTCCACCCGTCGGCACCCGGAATCGCTTTTATCGTCAGCACGCCTCGCTGATCTCGCCGCCGGACGAGGACATAGTCCAACAAGTGCCGCTGTCGCAGCCGAGAGTGCATTCAGGCGGCCTTCTCGCACGTCGGGAGCCAAAAGGTGTTGGTCAGGATGGGCCAGTGTTCCGCGCAGGCCCGTAGGAAGAGTAAACCATTATCATTGGAGCCGCCGAGACCATGAGGATGCAGCACTCTTTTCAGGCAGCATGGTGTGTGCCGACGCGGACTCTGAAGTCACCAAAGACAACTAGCTTATCCGTCTTCGGCACAGACACGGGGAGGGCGTAAAGGTTCTCATAGAATTTGTCCCTTTCGGCTTCGGGGCTAGTCAGCGGGGTAGTGCAGACGCTGACGATGATGGCGAATTTGCCTACCCGGAGAGGCAGACGGATGTTGCCTTGCGGTGGACAGGGCAGTCGTCCCACAATAACATTCCGGATGGCAAAGGCGTCGCTCTGCCCTGACACGACTGCTTCATAAGAAGGTGTAGCCGGCGCCAACCTCCTCAAACTGGCTTTGATCGGAGAAGGGATTCTCACTGAGCGCAGCGATTTCCGCCTTGCAGCGCGCCAATTTCCGAGCCATTAGCATCATCTTACGTTCCGTTCGCTTGCTTCCCGGATTGTCTGAAAGGAAATGAACATTCTAGGCTGCCCGAGTGAGCGGACTCATCCTATCAGTCTGGCGAGCGGGGCGGTGAGAAGAGAAAGGAAGAAGAGAGAGTGTATTGTCTCATGTTTGGTTGTTTCGACCGTGAGTTTTGCGTCTGCGGCCACGGTCAACCTGCAGACGGCGTGGCTCCCCAGCATCTGTTTCGGACATCTTTTCTAGCCCCTTCCCCTTCGCTTGGGGGGAGCGGTGCTCTCCCTAAATAGGGTTGCTCAGTTGTCCCAGGCGGCTGCCGAACTCCACTATGGGCCGCGACTTGTATTTAGTGGGAGAACGACCTGAGTTAACCTGGGACTGCCTACGATATCGTCGTAAACTGAATGGGTGGAGGGTGGAAGGGTAGAGAGACGGGATGCAGAGCTTTCCCGTTCCTCTTGAAGCTCACTAAATGCTGAAGTATAAACGATGAGGAGACAACTTTAACAGAACGGCATTTAGCTTACAGTAAGGACAGGTACAAACAAGCAGAGACAAGGCAAGATATGATTATGTAGCCCCACCTTCTGGACCCACTACTGCCGGGGCTGGGACTAGGGAGTAGGGTCAAAGGTTGCGGTTAGGGGTTAGGGCAGCTAATTCTCAACCGCTCGAAGTACAAGCACGCATTCCCAATAGGTTTTCTTTTGCATAAAGCTACTTGATCTCCTTGCCTGTGCGTTCCCCGACCCCACCAGTAAAAGCCTCCATTACCACTGGTCTCGTATTACAGGTGGCTGGGGTTTGTTTACTTCAGGTGGGACACATAATCATATCTGAACGCAGATAAAAAGCAAGAAGGAAAGAATAGCAAAAAGTAAAAGTAATACAGAAAATTCAACAGAATATCATTTGGTTTTCAATAAGGACAAGCACATACATGCAGAGAGAATGCAAGCAGATAAGAACAAGCAAAAGCAAAGGCAGCAGAGCAACGTTCGCCTACCTGATGGTCTACTTATCTTGTTCCAGATGGGGCCTCATCACGGAGGTGCCAATGCCGGCCGTCGGAGCCGAGATTACCGTGTGCGAAGATGTATACGCACGGATACCCTCACCTGGTTTAGCCCGCCAGTCGAGGCGGTTACCTGGCTGTGACCGACAAGCAGAGCCTAGCTTCGGGGAGCCACATGTGAGCGCCGATGCCATAGGAAAATTGCGCAACAGTAAGGCACCCGGAGAGGACGGCATACCCGCTGAAATCTTTTAGTCTTGTGTCGACACTCTGGCGTCCTGGCTCCATGAGGTGATTGAACGAGCGTGGAGAGACGAGGTTGTTCCTGATGACTGGGGCTTAGGCATCCTTGTACCTATCCTCAAGAAGGGAGATAAGACGAGATGCGAGAACTACCGCGACATAAGTCTCATCGACGTTGCTGTGAAGATCTTCGCTATTGTCCTACTCAGGCGATTCCAGGCTGTGCGTGACTCAAGGACGAAGCCCAACCAAGCCGGATTTCGTGCTGGACGTGGATGCGCAGACCAGATATTTACACTGAGGCGCATTCTCGAATTTCGCCATTGCTACCAACAACCGACGGCCGTCTGCTTCGTTGACTTTGCCGCCGCGTTAGATTCCGTTCACCGTGAGTCCCTGTGGCGGATAATGGCGCTAGATGGTGTACCGGCAAAAATCATCGCCATGATCAAAACCTACTATCGTTCCACTACTGCGAGAGTCCTGGTCCGTAACAATCTTTCCCAACCGTTCGGTATTCGGTCTGGCGTCCGACAGGGTTGTATCCTGTCACCCATACTGTTCAACTACGCTATTGACTGGATCCCCGGGAGGGCCCTACGCGACAGTGACGGCGTTGAATTTGCACCGGGAAATCGACTGACTGATCTCGACTATGCCGATGATATCGCCTTACTTGCTTCAAGTTTTGGTGATCTGCAGTCTATGGTGTCACGGGTGAACGAGGTCGCTAAATCAGTCGGTTTGTCCATAAACGCTGGGAAGACCAAAGTATTCTCAAGCTGCATCCCTGACCAGGAGAAGGCACCCCTGGGGATTGATGGCTGTCAACTTGAAGAAGTGGACAGTTTTAAATACCTCGGGACGCGGTTGCTGCCTAATTAGCACAGTAAAGATAACATTGTCTCCCTAATCGATGCTGCACGCTGGGTTTTCTGAAGTCTTCGGAAATGCCTGTGGAACCGACGTGACCTCTCCATACCCACTAAGATTCGCGTGTACCGTGCATCTGTCAGGTCTGTCCTTCTCTACGGTTATGAATGCTGGGCTTTGTGCGTGGTGGATGAGCGAAAACTGGAGGTATTTGACCACCATTGCTTGAGGATTATCCTTCGAGTGAAGTTCACCGACTTCGTCTCAAATGAGACAGTCCGCGCTCGCTGCGACAACATCGCAAGAATAACTCAGGCCATCCACGAAAGACGACTGAGGTAATTTGGGCATGTTCTTCGTCGTCCACCTCAGGAGCTCAGTGTTACTGCCCTTGATCCGGCACCGTCGCCCCATTGGAGGCGTCGAAGAGGGGGTCAGTTCAAAACCTGGCTCGACACTGTCCGTCAAGACATGGAGGTGGTTCTTGGACCTTCGTTATTCGGTCTCCGTCGTTGGCGAAGGGAATGGGTCGAGCTGTCTAGATCTGCTGCCGCGGATCGTCACGCGTGGAGAGGTACAATTCGGGACATCATCGAGGCTGGCTAGATCAGGCATGATCGCAGCCGTATCAAGTACAAGTAAGTACATGTGAGCGTTAAGTTCCAGCATGTGGACGCTAGGCGTATTCTACACCTGCAAGCAAGCGAGCGAACTACTTCTACCGTTACGAGGATCCACCGCTGGACACGCCTACACCCCTGTTAGAAGACTAAAAGCTCACTTACTGATTTCCCATAGTCGTAAATACTGACATGCGTTTTCAAGGCAAATTGCTGTGATACCATAGTTCGAACATGCACACTTCCCTTTCTTTACTTAATATTCAGTCGCTCATTCCATATTGCAAATATCAACCTACTTCATTTCCTCAGAAATTCATCGTTAGTTTGGAAAAAATAATTCAGAAGGAAGTCACATCAGCTCAGTCCTGAAGTTCATATGAAAACCGAAATCCGTCAGCCACAACCGGACCACCGCGTAATAGTCATAAACTGCCAACAAACATCTATTAGGATGTACGTGCTTCATAATTTACTCTACTGACATCGCACGTACTAACTGAAAGGTGGGACAAGTGTTTCGCCGATATTCTGCCGCTGCATGACACAACTGCGAGAGACTCCGGCTCACTACCGCCCCCCTCCCGCTCGCCAGCGTGCCCTGTGTGTCTTCTGGTAGCTACCCCAATTTTGAAATGCCCACTTTTAATCTCCTCAGAAATGAATCCCTAACTAGGAGTAAATCAGTCGGAATGAAGCCTTATGGGCCCAGTCCGAAAGTTTATATGAATATTTAAGCCAAAATCCGTCAGATACAGCCGGGTCACCGAGTAATATGCATGAACTGCTAACAGACGACCAGTGGTGTGTACATATCACATGTTTTACTATACTGCCAACATAAGTAGTAACAAAGGGTTCAGGCGTGTTTCACCGATTCTGTGCCGCTGGATGGCGCAGTTCCGAAAGGCTCGGTTCCCCAGTGGATTCCTCAGAGTTCCGGTGTGCCTTTTTATGCATACCTTAGATGCAGCGCTCGCGCATTAAATTTCCTCAAAACTAACCACGGACTTGGAGTGCATCCTTCCAAAAAACCTATTTTAGGCTCGGTTCCAAAATCTATATGGTCGGAGTCATTCATATGTTCCTCCCCATCCCCCCCCCTCCCCCACCCCGACAGAACATGATAATAAGAACTTCTGCAATACAGGTGGCCTTGCCCACATATTCCAGGATGGGAAAATATCCCCGTGTTCTAACCCTAGCATTAACCTTGACCGTAACTAATCTTACCTCTAACCATATGTTTACCCCTGACACCAACTTTAACCCCAACCATAATTTCCCTGGAATTAAGCGTAAAGACACCTATTTTATTTGGGGGGCTACCGTTTCCATGTTCTGCCGGAGGGCATATAGACGATTCCTACCTTTAATATGAACATTTCGGTTGAGTTCCATCAGCTACTACGTAATAATCGCGTAATATTCACAAACTGCCAGCAGGTAGTCAGTAGTATACTAGTAGTGACTGATTCACCATACTGACAGGATAGGTACTAGCTGTTTAGCTAGTAGCTATGCTGCCAATACAATGAATCATGTAGTAATTGCAAATATCGTTGTATACAGTGACGTCTGAATTTCTGGGCTTATGGTCCGTCAGTATATGCAAGCGCGGTCTGCGTAAATGCAGAATTGGAGACCAGCTATGCGCAGATATTTTAAGTTATTCAGTAATGCAGAATGTAATGGAACCCAACATAAGATGACCGAAATTGGTTGTATACTTTCAAGCGACGAAAGGATCTCAAGCCGTTGGCCGTAAGATTTTCTACAAAAGGTCGTAATGCTGGAAAATACGGTCATGTTCCTTGCGTTTGTGTGTAAGGGCGATCAAGTACACACTTCAACCACACTTCAAAACGTAAGTCCATGGTCCCTGTAATATGGTGTGTAGTTTATTGCGTACAGTCCATTTAGTTCGCAACTTTAATAATTACTTCATGCTTGGGTACCCAGTCGAAATTTTCTAATCTGCAAAAGTGCCTACTACTAAAAACGTTCATTAAGGTGAACTGTGCGAACTAAGGATGCCACAAACTACGGATCAGTGAGTTGTCGGGTGAAGTTGCCCATACTTAGTCGCCTTTGGGCCTAATGCCTCTGATGGTTTAAAGGTCAGCATACCGCTACCCAGGGAGCGTTTTTGTTCCATGTCCCTCTCGAAGAAAATTACAGGGAATCGGTCAATTGTGCCTTAGTTTTGGTTTTCGCTATAGGACACTTCTAAATGTCCCAAATACGGCTTCTCCTGGTCGTCTTTAAACCTGTCGCACTAAACATGATTGTTGATATTGACTGCGCTGTTTAAAATCCGGAACTCCTTCGTCGAATAACGCTTGGGAATTCACCAAATCTCACGGCAAGACATGATCTCATATAGGGGGGGGGGGGTGCCATGTCATACTATTTCTTAGATATTCGTCCAATTATTACTGTGGGGAAGAATTTTAGAATGAATTCACGTTTTCTCCTAAATATTCCTCTTGGAGACAAGAAATATTGCGGTTTCTTTGAGGATTTTCAGAAAAGAGTCAGAAGCTTATCGGAGCGGCGCAAGAAATGCAGACTTCACACACCATTTTAAAGAATTCTTTTTCTGGTTCTCATTTTATGGTGTATGGTTCCATCCCGTCAAGATATTTCCCACCTGCCAATTCGTCCATAAAGTGCATGGAGAATACGCTAGGAAGTCATTGTGCTGCGCATTTTACTTTATAAGCTCCCCTTCTTTCATTTTAAACAAAAACTACCTATTCAGTTTCCACCCCCCGAACAGTTTAGGCAGATTGTCTGCTAATAGTCGTTATCCCGCAGTCGTCAATTTCGAATCAATAAACAGACACTGATACGTGAACTTTATTTCCAATTAGTCATTAGGTCCCGGCAAAGATGGGATGTCAGAACTGAGCAAAGTCACAGAGATGGCAGAAGAAACACGAATGTGTCAGCATCTTGGGGGTAGTGGAAATATCCCGTCCAAATGCTTCGCTTGTAAAATGGTCATCTCGACCTAATGATCTGATGTTGATATTTTTCAGTATTCAATGTATACATTTTAACATGGGCGGTCATGTAGGAACTTGGATCGAAATTAGCAGCCCTGAGTCTTACAAAGACTCAAATAGAGTGATTACAAATATCATCACTTTACTGTCACCCATTTTTGCACCAAAAGCATAACCTTATCTAAATATGGACCTGTTCTACTAACGTTGTTCGCTATACCTGATACATTTCCCATTTTCGTCTAGCCAGAGTTTCTGAACAAAAACTTGTGACCTTGAGAAACTCACAGGGGCATTTGGACCTATCTCTCGAGGTAACCCCACACATGAGCATCATAAAAGTCGGTGCAAGTCGCAAAATCGAGATCACCGTTAAACACTGGTTTGGATATAACGAACGAATAAGTGCTTTCAAGGCTTCGTCGTCGAACATGGGAGGTAGTGGAAGAAACAAGAAATTGCAATGCGCTCCATGAATGGATGAATTTTTGATTTCCTCTTCTCCCATTTAGCTCATCTTCAGCAGTTAATATCCTGCCTTTAAATTGAAGAAAACTATTTTTTCCATTTTCCCGGTGATTTTCAAGCAACATCACTTTCTTTTTTCCTCAGAGCTGATCAGCTAAGTTATGCAATAAATATTCAAGTAAACGTCCCTCACACCGTCGAATAAAGATTTTTGATCTCATTCTGACTCTTACTGTCTACAGCATGACAACTAGGCGTATTTTAAATGAAAATGGAGAATCATCTCATCCAAAACATACACTTCCACCGTCACTTTCGACGGTGCCCACCGTACACCCCAGATCTGGGTGGGCGCAGGGAGGGTGACTTGGGCGTGAGATAGTTTAGATTAATGGGGGACTTGCGCCGCATCTACCGCACTCTCTCTCTCCTCACATTCCTGGGCTCGGCGCCCAGACGGAGTCAGGTAGACCGGAGGCGTGATCGGGCGCAGGTGGCTGACACGGCGTGAACCCGCGCCACGGCGCGCGACAGCATCCGCTGGTCAGTGCACAAAGAACCAGGATTTCACATATCTGGAGAATGGAAACAGCTCGGTTTCCAACCGAGGGATGGTGTCGTATAGACCACGCTAAGAAAGAGCCATTGCAATCTAATCAAGTTACCCTGTACGTTGGCAGCCTTCAAAGGCACGACTTTTAGTGCACTGATTGTTTATAATGAGGAACATGCTCCGAGACTGTCGACTTCACTCCTTCTCCCCACTCTCGGACATTGGTTCACTGTCTGAAACGGTCAGTCATTTGGTGCAGAGATAAGACGTAGTGGATCAGAGAGCTGGAGAGCTCGACTACACATAGCACACAAACGACCTGGTCCCAAGCACAACACATCAGGAGTTCGCAAAAAGCAC